GACCCTGAAAAAATACAGATTCTAAGAACTTTGGGTAAGGCCATAGGACCCTTATCCAGATTACCTTCGTGATCTGATATAAGTGCTCCACATATGACATCCTAAATGTTGGGAAATATTGATCCAAAAGATCAGATCAGCATACACAGTATACATCCTCTTTGGACCATCAAAGGCATGTGGCTTTTTTTTTTAATGCTTTTGGCATGAAATGTTCTTTTATTATCACTCTTCATTTTTAAATTTTTTTTTAATCCAGGGCACTTAACCACTGAGCCACATCCCCAGCCCTTTTTATTTTTTATTTTGAGACAGAGCCTTGCTAAATTACTGAGGCTGGCCTTGAACTTGAGATCCACCTCCCTTAGCCTCCCAYGTTGCTGTGATTACATGCATGTGTCACCATGCCTAGCTAAAGAGTGTTTTAATTTGCTAACAAAACTTGGTTTCCCATTGTCTCAGCCTCTAGATTAGAGAATTGGACCACTGCAATTTATGTTATTATCCTTCCTCCACTATTCTTTTCTACCATCATTTAAACTTCTTCTACTTATCTTCTGGAAGGGTGCTATAACCCACCCTTCGCTAGAGCCTCAGACACAAACCAAAGCTTCAGAAACCATCATGGTGTTTATCATGCTGCATTCTCAGGTGTAAATCAGAAAATCCAGTCCAGGCTATCTTTTGCTAGAGGTTTATTCTGTCTCAAAATTGCACTTTTGTAGACTCAAGGGCAATAGACAAGTCCATAATTAATAACAATAGTAAAAATAATTCACCAAAGATGTATAATATCATCATCTTAGAATCCAAAGATAATCTGACATTTTTGCATTTTTAGTGCATTAGTCAGAAACATATTAACTCATGATTTTGCAAAAAATGTTCATTCTGAGTTCATGACATTCTAATTTTATGTATATAAGAAAGAATAATCAATAGTTTCTGGTTTTTTTTAAAGTCCTAAACATAAACTTGTTAGAAAGTTTATGACATTGGGAATAGATGAAGGGTGTGATGACTTGTGCTGGAACATCTTCCATCTGACAGAGTTGACATTCACTTGGCCCCATCCACACAGCAGAGACTGGCAGAGGACACAGAGATTCCCAGAGGTGATGTCTCCTATCTCTTCAGAGACCAATACAGAAACCAAGGCTGGAGTTCAATGAGAAAACACAATGAACACTTACTTGGTGTATAGGGGTGCTCTTCTCTGAACCAAACTCTTGGGAGCACATCCAAAAGGATGTAGAGAGGCTGATTGTGTTGTAGTAGGCTAACCTCATCCCTCCTAGTCTCTAGGGCTGAATGGTTCTATCATTATGTGAATCTATTTGCTTCCCAGGAGTTACTATGTTTAAAAAAAAAAAATTTTTTTTGGCTTTGGCCTACAGTGACATTACAGAAAAAAAAAATTTTAAAAAGAGCCATGTTTTTGCACTCTTTTCTGGCCCTAAAGATACCACCATTAGAGGCATCTATGATGAGTCCTCTTAGAAGGGGATTTTTTTGGATGCTGAGGAAAATGGTTATAATTTAACTAATAAGAAAGGAAAGTTGAACTGTAGGATTTAGATGAATCTAAACTGATTTTGGCCCAGTGGTTTGGCYATACCCCAGGATCTGTCCATTGGGATAATTTTAGGGAACTATCCTGACCTCTGATCATCTTCTATTTATAGAATTCTCCTTTGCATTCACCCAGTTCTGGATTGGAAACTCTTAGCCTGAACTACAGTCACTAACARATGTAGAGATGATCAGGTATACTTTGAAACTCTAGGTGTTAAAGTATGAAAAACATTTAGTGCTTCACATCTTGCATCCTTATTTTAAATAAAATGTAATAAGAATTTCTGACTGCATTACTTATAGGAAGGGCAAATATTGTTTTGTGAAATTTTATTTGTGTATATATGTATGTATGTATGTATGAGTGCCACGAGTTACAAGGTAAAATATATCTAATTGGGATTAAGGTTTTAAAAATTCAAGAACTACTTGACTTTGATCTTCAAAGGTTCAGAGCATGCATGCTGTTTAAGTCTGGATCCTGGTTCCAACTCTTGGTAGCTGTGTGATCATGGGCAATTATTTAACTTCTCTGTGCCATAATTTTCACATGTCTCAAATATGTGATATGAGAATAATAAGAGCAGCTATCTCACTGGGTTGATATATGGATTCAGCAGAGTAACATCTGTAAAGTGCTTAAAACCTTGCCTGACATGAAGTAACTTGTGTCTTTGGAAAAAAATTGATCTGTGCTCAAGTTTACTTTATTTTCACATTTTCAATCAAGACAACAAAGCCATATGGATATTTATTATCTATATATACATAGATACTTGGAAAAGTTGACTGTTCTGAGTGGGTATTATTTTGGAATGTTTAAGGGTGCTTTGGAACTATATTGCTGGTTTCAAACCACAGCTGCACCACTAGCTTGCTGTGTGACCTCTGGCAAATTATTTGATTTTGTATGTCCTCAGTTTCTTTATCTGTAAAGTGGGCTTAGTAAAATATATCTCATAAGGTGGTTGCCAGGATTAAGTGAGACCATCCATAGAAAATGCTTAGGGCTCGAGTAGTAACTATTATCATTCTCACTGTTAGTAATTCAGACCATGTCCTTGCTGCATCCTTCCCAGTGTACTGAAAGGCAATCCCTCCTCTTCTTCCATGTGAATGGCTTGCTTAAATCATCATTTCAGTTCAGCTGTGCTGAATCAACCACATAGGGGCTTAGATAAAGACCAATACTCCTGACGAGGAAAGTCATTGTGAGGCCCAGGGGTGGATTCAGACCGCCCCACTGAGCTCCCTCTTCAGCCTCACTCTCACAACTTAGCCAAGTCACTAGAATCGTCCTTTTGCCTCAGCAGGTCTTCACATCCCTGTGGATAATTCTGAAGTGTCACAATGCAAGCCTGACAGCCAGAATCCATTTTGCAGTACAGTTGTCTATGGCAAGAGAGAACATCATATTGCCTTCCCCTTCATGTGGGGGGAGGAAACTGATCAGGACAAAGTTGCTGTCCAATATGATGAAGCGCTTTGTCTGATGTATCACTTGTAAAAACTGCAGAAGCATAAAATGGCTCATTAACTGAAGGGGCTTGCAACTTGCGTTCTTCAGTTCTTAAGGACCTTCGGCAAAGCTGTTCTGACAAAGAGTAATCTAAGATTCTGGAGGACTCCTGGGCTCAAAGACCTGCTTGTGTATTTCTGTTATTCTCCCCTCTTCTCCCATGGCAATGTGTCTTTAAAAATAAATAATGGAGCAATATCATGTAATATCAATTTCTTGCCTTGACCATAAGATCCTTAAGGGTAGGAGACCTGCCTTATTCATCTTTGTATCCCCTGCAAGCACCTGGCACACATCTCAATCAACGTCTGTGGAGCTGAAGTGGCTGAATTTGTACCTCAGATCAAGGAGATCATAATTGGACTAGAGCTGAAGGCAAGCCAGGAAACATTTCTTTCCTGCTGAACCAGAGCTGGCTTTCAAGGAGATTCAAGTAGCCCGGAAGGCTCCACCCTCCAGCCCCAGGGAAGGTCTAAAGGTGATTCTATTGGTGCCTTTGGTGAAAGTTCTTTCTCTTAGTTCTTACGGAATAGGAAAATAAAGCACCCTCTTTTGCATCTTGGTGGTTTGCGATCCAGGGTTCAGAGACAGTAAATTGGAAATGTGAACTTTTTTCATCCTCTGCCTAGCTGAGGATGTAGACAGATGGCTAGGAACACAGAGCCTGTTCTAATTCAACTTGGTCCTAATTAAATACAGGGGTATATTTGTTATTTTCCTTCCCTCCAAAAGGTGTAAGTCTTTGACTTAACTTTTTTAGTTTATAAGCAGAAACACAGACAAAATGAGCTTTTGGATCTCTCTCTCTCTCTCTCTCTCTCTCTCTATGTATATATATATATATATATATATATATATATATATATAT